AGAGAGAGAGGTTCTTAGCTTGCAGCAGCAGCAGCAGCAGCAGCAGACACGTCCTCCTGCAGAGTCCCAAGCCAAGGGCGGAGGTAGGTGGTTTTTAGTAGCTGGCTCAGGGTGAGGGGAAGGGAGGCGTGCTCTGCTCGCGTCTGAGGGTGCAATAACACCCCCAAATCCACCAAACAGGGATGCCTTTGTAAATGCACCAAATACACCATGCATCAAATACAGCATGTATTTGCACCAAATGCGGTGTTGTTGTGTGCCTTCATGTCGTTTCCCATTTATGGCGACCCTAAGGCGAACCTGTCATGGGGTTTTCTTGGCAAGATTTGTTTAGAGGGGGTTTGCCATGGCCATGCTCTGTGGCTGAGAGAGTGTGACTTGCAAGGTTATAGTCTAGGTCAGGGGTAGGCAACCTTTCCCCTTTAAGGGCCGAGGGACTTCAGCTCCCAGAATCCCAGGAGCTATTGGCCAACATGGGACTATTGGCTGATTTGTTCAGAGGACGTTTGCCATTGCCTTCCCTTGAGGCTGAGAGAGTGTAACTTGCCCAAGGTCACCCATGGGGTTTCATGGCAGGGAATTGAACCCTGGTCTCCAGAGTCACAGTCCGACACTCAAACTACTATGCTGCATTTGCTCTCACAGCATCATAAAAGTCATTTCTGTTAAAATCAGTTTCCATAGTCTTGCTAGAAAAGAAAAATCTTAATCTGCGACTGAAAGGAAAACAAAGTAGAAGCCATCCTAACTTCCCAAGAGAAGGAGCTCCAAAGCATGGGAGCATCCACAGAGAAGGCCTTTTCCTGCCTTCTCTCCAGCCGTACTTTTGGAGATGGAGGGATAAAGAGAAGATCTTACAATTCAGGCAGACTCATATGGCGAGATAAGGTCCTTCAGATGAACCTCACAAACTCCTTTGTATGCAGAGCGCAAAGAGTCCTCGGGGAGTCTTTAGATTGTTGAGATATTACATATTTCTCCCACCATCTTCCCTTTTGGATGTAGCTGTCCCATTGCTACAATCTATTCACCCTCTAGTAGTTTTAACTTTGTTTTATTTCTTACAGAAATGGACTTTGAAGCAGTTATCAAGTACTCAAAACTCCATGCCAAACCTCCAGGGCTTTCCCTTCAGTATGGGACAGCCGGCTTCCGGACCAAGGCAGAAAACCTCGATCATACCATGTTTCGCATGGGCTTGCTGGCTGTGTTGAGGTCCAAGCAGACCAAATCCACCATTGGCGTTATGGTCACAGCCTCTCACAATCCCGAAGTAAGAGAAATTAGTATTTCTGATAAGGGAGAAAAGGGAGGAGTTGCAGACAAAGAGGAGCCATGTTGGAACACTATTGCTCTAATGTTGTTTGTAAAGTTCTAGATTCGTAGAACTGAAAGGAATCCATTGTTTCAATAAGATGAGTCTTTCCAAAGGGGAAACTACGTAACGTCTCTAAGAAGTCTCTAAGAAAGCTGAACAGATCTTATATTTAGCGGACCAAATGCAGATAGGTTTAGATTGCATTGAACACAGTAAACATTTTAAGCCAAAGATTAGTCTCTTTTTAGAGACCTCAGAGATTGGTAGCCGTCTTTCAAGGATGCTTGAACCGCACTGGAAGAGTGTAAAACTAGATGGTCCCTTCCAACTCTGAATGTATGTCAACTCCCAATGATTTCAGTAAGACTCAGGAGCACCTAATATTCTCATTTGGCACATTTTTCAAATCACGAATGGGCAGAAGGTAGATCAGGAACATTTGATTAGACTTCTGAATAATTATAGTAGATCTCCAAGGTTTTCAGACTCTCAGTAATTGTTATTGTTGTGTGCCTTCAAGTCAGTTATGACTTATGGCAACCCTAAGAACCTATCATGGAGTTTTCTCGAGAAGATTTGTTCAGAAGAGGTTTGCCATTGCCTTCCCCTGAGGCTGAAAGTATGTGAATTGCCGAAGGTCTCCCAGTGGGTTTCATGGCTGAGCTGGGATTCGAACCCTGGTCTCCACAGTAAAAGTCCATCACTCAAACCACTACGTCACGCTGGCTCAATGAGCAAGGGAAAAAAACAATCTCTCTGCCATGGCTTATTGTGTGCCTGTTGCTTATCTTTCAGTGTTCCTCCTCTGTGCAATAAGATTATTAGTTGGCTGCTTCTGGCCAGGTATTTGTTAGAATCCCTGATCCCTTGTAACTCCCATGTAGATCTGTCTGTGTTCATGGAGAGCAGTAGACAATTGATTCTGATCCTTGAGATCCACTGTTTTATATCTGTCTCTGTTTGGTAAATCTTGGTGTTTTAGTTTTAAAAAAAAAAGACTCCCAGTGCCTGATGTCTGCCCAACTTTACTCTGGGTACAAATCCTTCCTGTAGTTTAGCACAGTCCTATGTACATTTACTCAAAAGATGAGTCCAGTTGTTTAATGTGGCTTACTTCAAGAAAAAAATGTATATATGATTGCTATTTTAAACACACCCCAGGATGGCAAAAAGCATCCTTACTCCTCCTCTTGACATCTGGTTGCATTCAGAATCTGTCGTTCATGGAGGGATGTATTCTTGCAGGCTATAGAAAACTCTCTGAGTGAAAAGGTGTCTCCATGTTGTTTTCAAGATTTCCTCCTTCAGTCATGGCCTGCTCCATTCAAAAAGATGGAGCATTTTGGGGAGTTCTGGAGAGCCTGCTGTGGGGCAGGGAAGTCCACTTCCAAACCATATTTCAATCCCCCCCCAGCTTCATTTATCCTTTGACTCATGTTTTCTGTAGGCCACACTACTTTTCTGTTCTAGCTTTTCCTCTTGTATCATTCCTTCCTGTTTTCCTGCCCTGCTTAAGTCTTCACAGAGAAAGATTTATTTATTACTTAGGCTTATTGCTTAGTGAATACACCCAGACTTCTCATGATGATATTTTTTTTTTTTTTGTTCCAAGGAAGATAATGGTGTGAAGCTGATTGATCCTTTGGGTGAAATGTTGGCAGCCGCCTGGGAAGAACATGCCACACGCTTGGCCAATGCAGAAGAGGAGGAGTTGCAGCGTGTGCTGACTGACATCTGCCGCAAGGAAGCAGTAGACCTTCTGGGCAATGCATTTGTTGTTATCGGCAGGGACACTAGGTAAAGCGACACAACTGCTACACCTCTTGGGAAGCAACAGACAACATCAGAACTTGCAAGAGTTATTGTTTAAGGCTTTATGTCCATAATCCATCCCCTCCAACCAGCATCATTTCTGGGAATTGTTGTTCAAAAAAGTAACTGTTCCAGACTCTGGACCATGTACCCATTTACTAGTGTTTCTTTATGGCAGAAGAATTTTCATGGAAGATCTTCCTAAATACTTCTATTAGAGAATGATTGAGTTGGAAAGTATCTCAGAGATCTTCAAACAACCTGCCGGGTTTGAGCAGGAAGTGCAGTACTACAGCACACTTCATAGATGGCCATTTAGCTTCTACCTAAAAACCTCTAACAAAGGAGAATTCATCGCCTTCTGAGGAAGTGGGTTGCACTGTTGGAACAGCTCTTCCTGATAAGTACCCTAAATCCCCTTTTCTTGGCTATATCCCCACTGCAGAAATAATCCAAGTTGACACCACCTTAACTGCTGTAGCTCCATGCTGTGGAATTTTGGGAATTGTACTTTGTTGTGGCACTAGAGCTCTCTGACAGGGAAGGCTAAATGTCTCACAAAACTACAATTCCCAGAATTCCATAGCATTAAACCATTACAGTCATAGTAGTGTCAACGTGGAGTATTTCTGCAGTGAGGTTGCAGCCCTTGTAATCTGAATCTGTTGGCAAACTGAACCCATCAGTTTCTTCCCGTAAAGAATACGAAATTTCTTATTTAATTTCGAACATTTCTTCCCACAGAGAAGAAATTTGCTCCATCATCTGTGATAGCCCTTGTGCGAGTGGCTGTTATGTTGTCTATTTCTTCACAAGGGTGAATAAGTCCAGCTCCTCTCCTTTTCTGGGTAGGAAAACCACAGATTAGCAAGATTGGTCTTGGTTTAGTGTGTGACTTGGCGTGTGATACCCTTTTGCTTGACTGAGAGTAAGCTCATCTGGGCTTGGTCACTATCAAGATGGGAGGCCACTCGCAAATCCCATGTTATCCATTGAGTTCCATGATGGAATAAAGGTCTGATATAAACATATTATGCAAATAAATTGAACATTTTAAGCCAGGGGTAGGCAACCTTTTCCCTTTAAGGGCCGAGGGACTTCAGCTCCCAGAAGCCTCAGCCATGTTGGCCAATAGCTCCTGGGATTCTGGGAGCTGAAGTCCCTCGGCCCTTAAAGGGGAAAGGTTGCCTACCCCTGCTTTAAGCTTTGATAAGGGCGGTCTTCATTTATTTTGGATGTGACATGCATGGCTTCTTCAGTTGTTCCCAGCACCCAGCGGCCCAGTACTTTTCTAGCTCCTTGACTGCTGTAATTTCTTTCCCTCTAGAGAGGTAGATTTCATTGGGCTTGCTTCATCAGGCTGAGGATTGTGTCCTGTGTGATGTTATCATCTGTAGATACTCACTTGCCAACAATTAATTGGAATCAACATGTGTGTGCTGTTTGTATCATGTTTCAACATATATTTCTATACTCCTGTGTTTGCATCCAGACCTAGCAGCAAGAAGCTTTCACAGTCAGTAACTGATGGTGTGTCTGTCCTTGGAGGTCAATACCATGGTATGCCTTTTCCTCTTTTCATACAATGTTTTCTCTTCCAAACGTTTATACGGTTTCATTCTAGTCTATAGCTCTTGTTTGAAATTCAATGTGGAGGAGCTATAGTTTCATGAAAGAATGCATGCTTTCTACCCAAAGACTGTGTCAGAGTCTTTCCAGGGTTTCAGGCAAATCATTGTAAATTAGGGATAGAAATCATTTTTTGGACTGTAGCTCCCAGCATCACTCACCATTGGTTATATTGGATGGGACTGATGGGGTTGCCATCTTACAGCATCTGTCAGGCTTCACCATTCCCATCCCAATGTATAAAATGATAGACTAAATGGACCAATGTTCTCTCTAGGTATAAGGTAGCATTTTGCTATGAAAGAATATGTTTTTGTTTAGTTTTTCCTGTCTTCCTCAGTGCCCCAAAATATATTTCTGTAGTCGAATAATATTCTTTCTTGACTGATGTGATTTTTTTTTAAAACTAGACTATGGATTAGTAACAACACCACAACTACACTACATGGTCTGCTGTCGAAACACTCATGGCAACTATGGGATTGCAACAGTGGAAGGCTACTATGAAAAACTCTCCAATGCTTTTGTGGAGCTTACAAAACAGGTAAAATAATGTTTTTTCTTGGACGTTCTGGTTCAAATTTTTAAGGATCTTTACTTAGGTGTTTTTAGGGGAGTGTCTGTCCATGTGAGAACCTCCCATGAAGAAACAACAGCAATCTTTTTGTGTGCTAATGCTCTGGAAAGTTCTGGCGCTGTGGACAAGCTGCACAGCCTCTGTAGTAAAGAATGCACATCTTATGAAAGTGTTCCTCCTTTTAAGATATGAGCTAAATATTTTTGATAAGCAGATTATTAAAGCTTATAGATCTGGCTTTGATCTGATCAACTGTGATATATTAATTGTATATTAATTGTTGGGAGCTGTCTTGATTTAATAATGGGATGTAAGCCCTATGGGAATTGGTGGGTCTTAACATCAACATAAACACAGTTAGATAAAGTTTTTATTGTTGCCTGTGTCCTGACATGTGAGTACTTTGGTGGAAAAAAGATAGGACAGCAACAAAAATGTAATTCCCTCTCCAGTATGTAAACAAAAGTGTAGCTATACAATTAGCACTCAATGGATGGAAGTTACACATATGACACTGAATGCCATCGGTGAAAAGGTAGGGTAAGAATCCAATACAAGTTGTGCCTCCCTTATTCAAAATGCTTGCGACAAGAAGTGTTTTGGATTTTTTTCAAATTTTGAAATATTTGCGTATAGATATATCTTGGAGATGGGATCTAAGTCTAAACATGAAATTCATTCATGCTTCATACACACCTTATACAGACAGTCTGAATGTAATTTTATACAGAATAGCTGTAATAATTTTGGGCATGAAAGTATTGAGTGAATGGTGAAAAGGCAGGATGAAAATCCAATATATAAACATTGTTGCTTTGGTTGGAACAAAAATATGAGACTGATTATTATTACTTAGAATATATATATCCCACCTTTCTACGTAATGGTAGTCTCCTGTGGTGACATTAAATGAAAATGAATGGATAACAATATGACAGCCAGGGATCTTCATGCTCAGATGTAGCTATCACGAAGGAGCTCTGCCATCATAGCGGAGTCTGTCAGTATCCCCCCCCCCCCCCCCCCCCCCCGCACCTCTTAAGCCAGGCTGCACCCCAACTGAAGAGTTTCCATGATGCTGAAGATCAGGGAATTGGGAAATGATTCTCCTGGTCATGGGGTGCATTGAGACTTGCATCTGGAGACCCCACAGGGAAGAACTACCATTGCTGCTGCTGTGTCTTTCAGTGTACCCCACCACTGGGAGAATACTGTAGTCTTCACTTCCCAGTACCCTGATACACTTCCTTTTGGAAACCTTTTGGTTGGAGTGCTATCTGGCTTAAGAAGTACGTTTTTGGGGTGATTTTCGGTCATGAATGAATTCCAAAAGTTGCAAGATTATAAGTTTAGGTTATGATCCCATAAGGACTCAGGGCCTAAACAGGACTCAGGGCCTAAGCAGACGGCTTATTGGGCTGTCTTCGGCGCAGGGAAGGGGAGAGGCAGCCGCACGCTCGGCGCCCCATCCCCCTCCCGAGGTCGTCCTCGGAGCTGCCAGCCTTCCGTATGGCCGGCACTCCGAGGAGGACCTCCAGCCGCAGCGTCCAGACACGCTGCAGCGGAAAAGTCGCCGAAAGTGCGCCACAACTTTTTGCAGCGCACTTTTGGCGACATATGAAAGGAGTGCTATTTTAGCGCTCCTTTCCAGGGGTGACGACGGCGCGCCGCAGGATCGAGGCATGGGGATGCCTCGGTCCCGCGGCGCACCTTCCCAGGGCGGCCCATAGTTGTTGTTGTTGTGTGCCTTCAAGTCGTTTCTGATTTATGGCAACCCATGGGGTCAGAATATCATGGGGTATTCTTGGCAAGATTTGTTCAGAGGAGGTTTGCCATTGCCTTCCCCTGAAGCTGAGAGCATGTGACTTGCCCAAGGTCACCCAGTGGATTTCACAGCTGAACTGGGAATCAAACCCTGGTCTGCAGAGTTGTAGTCCAACACTCAAACCACTATATTACTTTATAAGATTTTTTAAAAACACGGTGGTCACCTTTGAAACTCTTTATGGGATGATGATGGAAAGTATGTGTTGTTCCCAAGGAAGACATCATTGTTGAACTGCAGTGGGCATATTACAACTTGTGACTTTTGATTTTGTCTTTAAAGAAATCAGTTTGGTGCATCTCTCTTTTTCATTTTCTCCATGTGAGCATTTTTTCTTTGTTTGTTTTGGCTGTCTGCTTCCAAACATATGTGTTGTTTGGGAAAAGATAGTAGAAGTTTAAAAAAAATGATTTTCAAAGGACCATCTTTTGCTTTGCTTTTAAAACAGGCTATGAGCCAGAGAGATGGACATATGTCCCTTAGGGTCGATTGTGCAAATGGCATTGGTGCTTTAAAACTCAAAGAACTGGGACGCTACCTCCCTGGGTGCCTCATGGTGCACATAGACAACGATGGGACCAAAGGGAAACTCAATCATCTGTGTGGAGCTGATTTTGTAAAAGTTCATCAGAAGCCTCCTGTAGGTATGTAGATAGAAATTGATTATCTTTTTTACATGAGTCTTTCAGAACAAAAGCATAAATTAAGGTTGTTGATGTTGTTGTTGTTTTCTGCCTCCAAGTCATTTTCAACTTATAATGACCCTAAGGTGAGCCTATTGTAGGGTTTAATTGGCAGGTTTCTTTGGGGAGGTGGAGGTTGCCATTGCCATCCCCTGAAGCTGAGAGAGTGTGACTTGGATTTTTATACTCAAGTGGGGATTTGAACTCTGGTCTCCAGAGTCATTGCACCATGCTGTCTCTTAGTGATAATTCATGGGAAACCAGATATAAAGGAAAACACTTAACACACTGTGACATTTTTAATTCAAAATAACTTTCCTTCTTCTCTCCATATCTGTCTTGGAAGGCAAGACTTGCTCTGGACAACAGGGGCACAGTGGTTCTCGACCTTATTGGATTGCTTCCCAGTTCTTCTAGCAAGATTCCAGTCTTGGATATAGTCCACCTTTGGTAGATAGGAGCTCATTTCCTTCAGTGGTAGAATCTGTTGCAGCAAAAAACAACAAAAAATCTTGTGACACTTTTATTTGGTGTTGCGTTTCCTGGGTTGTAGTAAAACACTTAACTGGATGCCTTGGTTAGCAGATTATTAAACACATATTGGGTGAGGAGGTGTGGGATTTTGACACGTTCTGACCTACTTACTATAATCACCCAGCTACCTAAGCATGTATATTGGCTGTGAGGTGGGGGAAATTTTCAACTGAAAGTTACTTTCTGTTTGGATTTGCAAGGTTTGGTGTGCATGTTTTGCTTTTGGGAAACTTTTTTTTAAAAAATTACTCATCAATATCAAACCAAATACAGTGCTACTAAATAAACAAACATGAATGCTGTTGCATATAATATAAGGCGGTGACGGTGAACCTTTTAGGAACTGAGTGGCCAAACTAAAATGCCATCCTGGGTACAGGACTTTTGGGGGAAACAGGACCTACAGGGCAGGACTTCCACCTTCTGAGGGGGCAGTACTTCTTCCCCTTGCCCTCCTGGGCCTTCAGCTGCCTCTCTGGAAACAGCTGAAGGTCCGAGA